TATATATTAAAATATACACACACACATACCGGGAGAGAATTTCTGAATGGAGTTGTAAGCATTTGTTTGTTTTTTTATAACAATAAATAGGTGTATTCCAACTTCAACAAAGTAAGAGTCCTAAGCCAGCACCAATGGTGCTTGAGAGTTTTGTCTCACTTTCCCACCTATGTGTATCACTGTGAGCAACATTACTGTGCTTGATCTGACAGTAATAGCCTCATCCTCAGGTTGGAGCCTAGAGATGAGCAGAAGCCCTGCATTGGCCGCGGTGTCTTTGGACCCAGAAAAGTGGCTGGGGACCCCAGAGCCCTGGTGCTTATTGGAGTCTGACTTATAGGCCAGGAGATACCGGGGAGGGCTCCCTGGCTTCTGCTGGTACCAGTTAATGTAATAGCCGCCAATACTAAAGCCACTGCTCAGGGTGCAGGTGAGTCTGTCTGATGCTCCCAGAGATGCAGAGAGGGAGGGCGGCTGAGTCGGCACAGGCTGGGAGAGGGAACCTGGAAACACAGACAACCAGAGACTATAGAGGATTTCACAGGGATCTGAGTGAAAGCAGATGACTGTGATTGAAAACCTGCCTGATCTCTGAGGCCTGTCCCTACCTGTGCAGTGAGAGAGGAGCACGAGGAGCACGGGGGTCCAGCCCATGGTGCACGCAGCCTCTGAGCCCACAGTGGGGCTGGGCTGACCCAAGCCTCTTTTATCCCCTCCCAAGTGGCCTCAAGGAGTTCAAGTGCATATTTTGTAGCCCCAATGTGTCTTCTACAGGGCCTGAGGGCCTGTAGATAGTTAATTTCCTGAAGGTCAGAACCTGGGATGGGACAGGTACTGAAACCACACAGAGGATACAGCTGCGGGGTCTTCATCAGTGAGCTCGGGGTCCAATTCCCTCTGCCTCCCCACCCAGACCTGCAATCAGGGAATTTCTCCATCTGTGAACATACTTTATGGGGCCTCCAGAAACAGTCTCATGATGCCCCCCTGATGTCCTTAAGTAAAACTGCAATCTCTTCCGCAGATCCTGCGTTTCTGTCATTCACTTTTTAACTGGGATTCTATACATATTGATTGAGACATTGCGAGCCAAGCACTGGGCTCAGCTCACTATTATGAAAACTAATTGGTTGCCCATGTTTTTAAGGGAATTGTGGTTGAAAAGAAAATCTTACAGGACATTAATAGCACAGCGAATATAAAAAGTACCATAAAGCAGAGGGTAGCCTGAGAAACTCATTCTTTGGATTTTTAGGAACATCTCCTTAGAAGGGACATCCTTCCCACTGTCCTCTTGAGGGAAGTTGGGAATGGTTCTCCCCAGGGTGGAAGGAGAGGGAAGGGCATTTTAAGAAGAGAAAGAAAGAAGTAATCCCAGAGCAGGAAAGAGCATAGTGGGATCCCAAGATGACAGAGCCTGTGAGAGGAGGAGTGGCCAGGGGAGGGGAGAACCCTAGCCAACATGGGAAGAGGAGAAGGCTGGAAAGAAGGAATTAGATGAAAAATCATAGGAAAAGATGAATTTGAAAGATGGTAGACACTACCTGCAGTGGAAGCTTGGGATGAGGATGTAAGAAGAATAAAGAGAGTACAGGTGGATCATGTACCGAAAAAAGTGAACACCATGGAACGTGAGGGCACACGCCTCCTTTCCCTGGTGAACTCAGGCCTATCCACGTGCCTTCTTTCGGACAGCGAAGTGTTTAACTCAAAGCTTTTCCAATTGTATCTTTAAGTGTAATGGGTTGAGAATAATTTACTATCACAATTGTGTAATTCTCCATATTTCTGGACTCTCTTGCTTTTTGCTTCTGTTCGGAAAAGAGCTCTTTTCTAAGCACATGTTTTAAAAGTAGTAAGTTATAAAATTTTCCCAGTAAAAATTAACCTGTGCTTCTAATCAGTTTTCCAACCTCTTAACCCACAGCCATCAGCTCACTGGAGTTATTTTTCCTCTCCCATGTTTCACTGGTGATAACTAAATGAAGCATTTGCCAATGAATAAAATGGAAAATTATATTTGCAACCTTCCTAAAAAGTTTGCTCAATGTCCACTGTCCACACAGAAGCCAATGTCATCTCTTTTATTATTTTTGTGATTGCAGCACCCCATTTTCTAATTCTTACAGCAGTAAAGATAAGTTAAGTTATGCTGCTGTAACAATTTACGTCAAATCTCAGTAACATAAAAAGAAAAGTTTATTTCTCACTTATACACCATTTCCAGCCTTGACTGATTGTAGCTCTGATCTACTTTATCTTCATCCCAGGATATAGCTGACAGAGAAGATTTTACTGAAACACTGCTGATCTCATAGCAGAGATGAGAGAACTTGGCAAGCACGTGCTCATTCTTATATCTACTGTTCAGAAATCACACTTGTTATTTTTGCTCATTTCATTGGCCAAAGCTAGTCATATGACCGATCTGAGTTCAGCAGATTGGGAAGGTAAAATATAATACTTCCATGTATTGGAGATGTGTTGGAGACTGTGAAGAATGGTAGGGTTTTTAGAGTTTTGGACATTTGCCTTTTACAGGTGAGGAAACAAACTTAAGAAAATGCTAAGTGACTTGTCCAAGTAAGCACTATCCAGTAGAATTTCCTGCCATGGTAGACAGGTTCTACCTTTGCAGTCTCAAATATAATATCCACGAGGCACATGAAGCAATTAGGCAGTTGAAACGCAGCTAGTGTGAACAAGAAATAGAATTTTTAATTTTCCTTCATTTAAATTAACCGAAATTTAGATGTAGGTATCCACATTCTGCTAGTGGAGACTACTGGATAGTGGAGGTCCAAGGACCAAACTTGGATCAGAGCCAAATAGAGGCAGAGCCAAAATTTGAACCTGACACTCTGGTGAAAGAAAAGACATTATTATACACTCATTTATACTGCTGTTCTTGTCTGCTTCTCACGCCCACCTTAAAATATCAGCTGTGAGAGTACAGTTGGTATCCCACGCTTAAAAAATACTTCCTGAGGGAATAAATAAAGCGAAATCTATTGTATTTTCATGCGCTTTATGTAAAGATTAAAATTTTCCCACATGTAATCTGGTCAAAATTGTATTCTACTCTCTGGTTGGGAGAAGATTCCATGTGACTAGGTAACAAGTTCTCTGACCTTATAGAGCTTAGAATGTAATTCATCCATCAGGGCAATCACATGAGTTCTGTGAAGCTGTTTTGTCTAACAGAGGGAACGCAGAAGCACGGAGAGATAGATAGCACATCTAGCCTTCCCTCAAGATGAATGACATAAACAGGACTCAAAGCCATAGCCTTCCTAATAACTAAAAGCATGTTCTTTTTAACCTATAGTTCTGAAACCAGGGTAATTTTGCACCACCCTCCACCCCAAGGACAGATTGAGAAATGTTTGGAGGTTTTTTTTGTGTGTGTCATGACTTAGAGAGTAGGGTGCTACTGACATCTAATGTGTGGAACTCAAAAAATGTTCTGATCTCCCACATGCACAGAACAGCCCCCTTCACAAGGAATGACCACGCCCCCATTGTCAGTAGTGCTGAGGCTCAGAAACCCTGTTCTGCACTAAATCACCTCCACGAAGCAATTGCAAAGGGAATGAGCAATCATCCATCAAGACGTGGGGATCAGGGGGAATTCATATTTTGGAAAGAAAATAGAGGAACTCAAGATGATTCTAACATTAGCACTCAAGCAGAAGACAGGAAAGAGCACCCTCCTTGGTGGGGATGGGTGAGGGAAGACCCAGAACAGGGACACTCTGCAGAGTTTTGGTCTCACTTCCCCAGGGGCCTGAAGTACTGTGCTTATTACTGTTGCTGTCATAAGACTGACAGTAGTAGTCCGCCTCGTCTTCAGGCTGCAGCCCAGAGATGGTCAGGTAGGCGCTGTTGGAGGAGCTGTCAATGGAGCCAGAGAACCGGTCCGGAACCCCAGAGGGCCTTTCGTTGTCCTTATAGATCACGGTGTTGGGGGCACTGCCCGGGCGCTGCTGGTACCAGTGCACATAGTAGCCACCAATGCTGCCACTGCTCCGGGTGCAGGAGATGATGGCCTTCTGCCCCGGAGACCCCGACATGGAGTGGGGCTGAGTCAGCACAAACTCGGCCCAAGACCCTACAAGGAGGAAGCAACACAGAGATCAGTGAGGACAGTACGGACTCAGTTCCCAAGGAGGGTGAAGAGGTCATCATCCCAGGTGACAAACAGGTGCCCTCCTAGATTGTCTTGCATGTACCTCCTGCACAGTGAGCAAGGAAGGTGAGGAGGAGAGGAGCCCAGGCCATGGTAGAGATGCCCCAGTCTCTGCTTCCTGAGCCACACAACCAGGTCTGAGCCCACAGATCCTCCTTGTATGTCCCTTTGATCCTGAGAGTGGGAGGTCTCCATGCAAATCTTCCCCTTTCTGGAGGTTGTACAAGCCCCTCCTACAATCTTAACCTTGCTGCCACCTGAGAAAAAGGGAAACTGTAGGAGGAAAGACATTATTTACTCCTGTCAGTGCACAGGAACACCTGTGAGAGGATGGGGAAAACAGCTGAGAAACTGGGGAGTGTCACACAGGTGCTTAGGCCACAGCGTCCCCTGATGGATGCAGGACACATGTCAAACGGGCAGGTGCTCATGCTCAGGACTCCGGCGCTCCCCAATCTGCACCCCTCACAGTTCCAGCCACGAGTTCAGGGGTTTTCCACACAACATTCTATGATCACACTACATTTAAACCTTTATATCTCTCTAGATGGACCAAGGGTCACAACTCTGCTCCAGATATTTAGAGTCACTTCGTGTCACTGGAGGTGAGGAATATCACAGAGAAGAGGCTCTGTTTGAAAAGAAATAGAGGCAAGGGCTCTGTCTTCAATGAGAGGGACCGCATGGGGTGAGTTTCTGATCCAGTCACCGATAGGAAGCCCAGCTGTTAGAACCAGATTTTATCATCAGAAAACACCGAGAGAGCAGAAAGACCCTAGGGAGTCAGGCTGGGGAGGGGCCAGATGTGAATCGGGAGTCAATTCAATCATAGCCATAATGAATAAGCACCATGAAGGTTTAAAGTAAGATATTAGAGTGGACAGTCAACAGGACCAGATGAATTTGAAAGAGGTTTAGAAAGAGAAGCCACATGGTTCGTGATCAATTGGATGTCTGGGTAGGTTAGAAAGAAGAGTCCACATAAATTTGAGGGTTTTATTTTATGAACCAGTTGGGTATTATTATTTTTATTTTTACATTGAATAGTTTAAGCCCAGTTTGTGCCTCTTTATTAAAGCAGTTATATTATTAGAGTTAGTGATTCTAAAGTAGGATGAGTTTAAATAGTATTTGGAGATTCTATGACCTATGAAAATATCTGTGATTTCTATTGGCGTCACAGTCACAGCCTATTTTATAATGGGTTATTTGTGGTGTTGAACACAATGTCATGTTCAAGTAACTCTCATTTTACTAAATAAAAGAGTACTGGTGCTGGTGATTCAAATATACCAAAGAGACACTGTAAAGTGCTTCCTTTAAGTGAAAAGGTAGGCACGTATAGGAAAAAACATAGTATATAGAGGTTTCAGTATTATCCATAGTTATAGGCATCCACTGGGGGTCTTAGAACATATTCTTCGTGGATAAGGAGGGATTGCTGTATTTAGTTGTTGTTGTTGTTGAATTGTAGGAATTCCTTATATATTCTACATATTAACCTCTTATCAGATATATAATTTGCAAATACTTTCTTCATTCTGTAGGTCGTTTTTTCACTGTATTGATTTTGTCCTTTGATGGACAGAAGTTTTTAAGCTTGATGTAGTCCTATTTGTCTATTTTTTATTTTGTTGTTCATGCTATAGGTGTCATATCCAAGAAATCATTGGCCAGTATGATGTCATGAAGATTTTCCTGTAGAATTTTTACAGTTTAAGGTCTTATTATCAGGTCTTTAATGCATTTGGGGTTGATTTTTATATGGTGTAAGAGTCCAGCTTCATTCTTTTGCATGGGGGTATCAAATTTTCCCAACAGCATTTGTTAAAGAAACTGTTCTTTCCCCCATTGAATGGTCTTGGCATGTTTATTGAAGATCATTTGACCACACATGTGAGAGTCTGTTCTATTATATTTGTCTATATGTCTGTCTTTATGCTAGTATCACACTGTTTTGATTACTGAAGCTTTGGAATATGTTTGAAATCAGGAATTATGACACTTCCAACTTTTTCTTTTTTTGTTCCTTCAATATTGTTTTTGCTCTTCAGGGTGCCTTGTGATTCCATATGAATAATGGGTGTTTCTGGAAAAAATACTAGTGGAATTTTTATAAAGATTGCATTAAATCTGTAGATTGCTTTGGGTAGTATTGACATCTGAACAATATTAAGTCTTTGAATCCATAAACACAAGATAGTTTTCCATTTACTTATATCTTCTTTAATTTATTTCAGCAATATTTTGTAATTTTCACTGTATAAGTTTTTAACTTCTTTGGTTGTTTATTCCTAAGTATTTTATTCTTTTTGATACTATGGTAAATGGAATTGTTTTTTTAATTTCCTTTTCAGATTGTTCATTGTTAGTGTCTAGAAACCCAGCTGAAGAGTGACATAAGGAAGATGACAGAGTAGATCTCCCACTCATATAAGCAACAATTATTTGGCAGCTATCCACAGACAAAAGTGCCTTTGTGGGAGCTTTGGAATCCAAGGAGGAGACTGGGAAACCCCAGTAGATCCTAAGACCAAGGAGTGTCATTTTGAATTGGAAGGCTCATGGCCAAGTGGCAGACCCACTGACCATAGTCTCAGCTACAGACTCAGAAATAACCAGGCTTTCTGTGAAATTGGCTATAGCCCAATTCAACCTTGGTCCTGTCACAGCACCATTCAACAAAGGACCAAGAGGAGTCATGCCCACCTTGCCCCAGGTAACAGGTTTGCTGACTTCAGCCCTGGCTGTGGACCCTGAGGTGGCCCATGACTCAGCTCCAGCCCCTCTTAGCTGCCAGTCCTGCCTTCCCAGGATCCAGGCAGGACACATGCCTTCCATACCCCAAGGCAAGCCCTCTGGCCTTGTTCAATTGCATCCTGAAACACTCCTGTAAATCAGCTCCTGTCTCTCTCAGCTCTGGTTGGGGAATATTATCTACCCAGGGAACTCGAAGACACATCTGTCCATACTCCCGGAAGAAAACCTACCAACCTCACTCCAACTTCAGATCTTGAAACAGCCCTATAACCTGCCTCCAAACCCTCTCAATTGCAGTCCAAGAGTGATCCTGTGCACCCAGAGACCCAGAGGGAGACACACACAAATGTGCCTCCAGAGGCAGGCCCACCAACATTGCTCTGACTGTGGATCTTGAAACAGCCCTGTTATAGGACCCAGCTGTAGTCCAGGAGAAATTTTCCCACCCAAGAACTTGGTTAGAAGCACAGCCATCTATACCCCAAGAGGCAGGCTTACAGAACAGCAGTCCCAGTCATAGACCATGCATGAAGCAGCCCTGCGGCTAGGTTTCAGGCCCTCTCAGCCGCCATTCAGAGTCAATCTTGCCTTCCCAAGGACCTCCTCAGTGACCTGCCCAGAGCCTTCCAAAAACCCAGAGGCTCCAGATCTATTTGCAGATCTTATAACAGGCCCTCTAACTCTAGACCCTGAAGTGGAAATTTACCCCAGCAACAGCCCTGCTGACCAAAGTCTTAGAGGCAGTCCCATACACAGAGGGAACAGACAAAACCCACAATGGCCCAAGCCCCTGCTAACAGGCCCACAAACTACAGACATCATTGTGGACCCAGTAACAGCCACATGGCCCACCCAACCCCACTCAACTGTGATCCCAGAGAAAATGTCGTCAGCCCATTGAACTGACAGATGAAGGTCTCTAAGTACTGGGACAAGTCTGTAAAGACTGGAAGAGGAATTTATTCCTTCAAGAGCTCAGATGTGAATGCAAGGCTACATGAAAAATCGGGCAAACATGACATCATTAACAGATCTACAAATTGCCTAACAAAGAATTTTGGTGGTGTCATGTTTGCCTGATTTTTTGTGATCCATGTAGCCTGTATTGGTGTCTGTGCATTGGAAAGAGCAGATACATCCTCCAGTCTTTACAAACTTGTGTTGTCAGGTAAACACCTTTCCCTGCCAGGTCCTTAAACTGATATAACCGCCTCCATGACTGCAGTCAAGCAAGGCTGAAGCCCAGACTCATTGATGTTGCTGAGTCCACATTTGAGGCCATGATTGGCAGGCTTGTCACCAAAGGTGCAGTCAGGTGTGCCTTATGCTAGGTCCCTGAGCGCACTCCTATCAGGTTGGTGGGCTTGTCCCTGGTTGAGCACGACTACCTCTGGACCACAGTGAGCAGGACTAGAGCCGGGTCATGAGACTGCTTCAGGGACCACGTTTGGGTCCAAGGTTGGTGGCCTGTTACTGGGGGTGTCTAAGGGTGTGGCTTCTGCCAGTTCTCTTGGGTGGGTCCCTGGGTAGATAAAACTGCCTCAAACTACATTAGAGCAGGGCTGACCAAGGTCCTGGAACTGCCTCAAGGACAGCAGTCAGGTCCAAGCTCGGTGGGCTTGTTACCAGGGGCACCTACAGGTAGGACTCTTCTCAGATCCTTCGATGGAAGGGGCCAGTGGCAAGACTGAAATGGAGCTGAGTCCACAAGACAATGGGGCTGCTTCTGGCCTTCAGCTGGGACCACAGTTAGCAGGCCTAACACTGGTGCGTGGGCCTGCCATCTCGAAATGGCCTTCCTTGGTCTTAGGCTCTTCCAGGGTTTTGCAGCCTTTTACCTGAATTCCAAAGCTCCCACAAAGGCACTTTGGTCTGTAGATGGCTGCCAAATATTTGTTTCTTTGGAGCAACATGGGATGGAGACCTCCTATTTCGCCATCTTGCTAATGTTACTCTCCTTTTTTTCAAAATTTAGAATAAAAAATTCTGGGGAGCTGAGATAACGTCCACCAAGAAAATTTGAAGTACCTACTATACCTCTTTAAAAGTCCATACACAATTTTTTAAAAAAAGAGAGAGAAAGAAAACAAGTGAAACTACACAAAACCTATACTCCTGTTAAAACAATAAGAACATGTCCAAACTTCAAATTACATGTAAGTGAAGCATACACACACACACACACACACACACACACACTACCAAATGCCAGCAGGCTTTCTCTTGTGTTTCCATCATCGGCCATGGTCTAAGCAGAAAGTAAAGTCGGTAAATCTCTGTGGAGGAAAGAAGAGGAAAACAAGTAATGAGTTGGTCTAATATTAATCTAAAACCACTGCTAAAATAGAAAATGCCTGAAG